CACTAGCTGAAACAATGCTAGAAATTGAACAACTCTTTACTCGATTGGAAACATAAATACTCGATATGATTGTACAGGTAAAAATTGTCGAATTTCCGTGTACCGGTTCGTGTAGCCTCGCGGAAGGTTAACGCGCATCATCCTGTCCCATCCAACGTCGAATTTAACCTGTTGAAGGGAACCGAGGGGAAAAAGAAGATTCTCACGGAAACTTTGCTTCCTCTGGCGATCGTTTCTCTTCTACTCTGCCTCGATCCCGACCTTGACCGCCTTAATCGGCGAACCCTCGACACCGATAAAAGTTTCTCACCAGTTGCCCGGCCGAGCGTTCCGTCACCCCTTCCCGTCATTGCGATTCGTGTTTTGTATTGATTGCAATATTGCGCGGCTATCAATGTGTTTAGGGGTAGCAAAGTCGCCGGATTGACCAGAGGCTTAGCCTTATCGCAAACATCGGTTCTCCGGGGGATAATCGCAGCCGATCAGCGCACGAGAGTTCTCCAGAATCGACGTGGACGCCGGTTAATCCCCGACGCGGAGGCTCCGGTGTTCCCCAGGCCGCGACATTCGACCGAGAGTACACAAGATAACACTCGGGGTCCCCCGGGCTCGTGTGATAGTCGTCGCCGCGGGGGTTGCGTGTAAAACGGCTCTCCGAAGAGGAGAGAGTCGTAAACCGTGGCCAAACAAACCCCGAAATAGCCTAGCCGGAGTCGGAGCCGCGCGAAGTCGAAGAGCCTCGACCGCAAACAAATAATAAACGTTCCTACGCCGTTGCCACGAGGTTCGTACCTGATAGCCAGGTCGGCCTCGTTAGATGACTCACGCGATTTACTCGCGGGCCAGGACTTGATCGCGAGGCGCGGCTCTCGGGGACAGAAGGATCGCTTGGACGTGCCGTGCTGCTCGTTTCTATCCTTTTTACCGAATCTAGAACACTTACGAACAGTATAGGAGGTGCGTATATTAAGTAACGAGACTGATGTTACAATTGAATATCGTTTCCCTGATGGTAGTGTTTCTTTTCTTTTCTTTTTTTTTTCTTTTTTTTTTTAATTTATTTTAAATCTCAATGGAAACGGAAATCCCCGTGCCTTATTTTTCGTTTAGACTCCTACAATAGTATATTTCTCGATTCGTTGTGGTCACAAACTCCCAGCGGTAATGTTCACCCACTGGCCGTCCAAGTCCACGGTCCCCGATATCACCAGATCCAACGCCAGTCTCGTTACTTGGTTCGCGCACCTCGCGTCGAGGGGTTACGTAGCCGATACAGATCCGAAAACCGCGAAGGGAGCATTTTTACCGCGAGCACCGTCGAGTGGTTCGTACGACCGAGTGAAAGTTGCAGCAGAGAAAGCGTGTCAAATCGAACGATCCCCGCGAAGCTCGTTCAATTTACGAGTGGTCGACGCCGATAGAAAGGCAACGTCGGTTCGATTATCGAATTTATTTAATGCCAGTCGGTTAATAAGCGCCTGCGAGAGCGAAATACCTATTGCTCTTCGGCGAGCATATCGACGCGCCGCGCGAAAATATCGGGGCCCCCGCGCGCCACCCCTGAAGACCTCGCTTTCTTGGCTTTTCTCCTGTCGTTAGTCGGAACGGATACCAGTTCGCGGCTACACGGCTTCCCCGATTCCCTTCCTACTCCCTTCGACGAGCCATCCCTTTTCCCTCCGCCGCCATCGCTTACCCTAGCTTGCCCTTCGTCCTTTTCCCCTCTATAATTTTCACTCGAATACCTGCTCTAATTATAGGTGGTTCGTCACGCCGAAAGTTCCTTCTGGCCCGTGATCCTCGGTAGCCTTTACGATCTCCTACGGAGGAGGCGCGCCGTGTATTCGTTCTAGAAATATTTCATTGTAAAACTTGGCTCGCACGACCACCGTCGGTCGTTGTTGCTATCGGTAAGCGATAGAAATGGCGTGAACTGCTACGTTTGAGTCGCTCGTGATTCAATCGCGTTCATTCTCAATCACGATGATTTTTCACGGTGACTCGTGATTCTTCGTGATCGTTTCTGATTGGTAGAGAACATTCTTTTCCCTTTTTCATTTCAATACAATTTAAATTTGACTCATTTGTAGTTTCTTGAATTTCCGCTAAGGGGAGACAGCGAGACACTAACGATAACGATTAACACGTTGATCGTCACGTCAACCATACGTGGGTGACAGTGATTTTCACTGAAAAACTACGAAAATTAATTCTGAAAGTTAAGTGTCACAGAAAATGAATTTAAATAAAATAATTGAACTTTAACGAAGTTACAAAACTAAACACCGCGATAAATGTTTCATTACACAGTTTCCAATAGTCTGTAAACATAATTTAATCGCGGTAGAAATTTTCAAGGGTGTTAGTCTGCCAGTGAACGTGTTAACATGAACTGCTTCTGAAACACCATTTTCCGGATCACGGTCGTGATCGAAGCTTAATCACGACTGCGATCGTGATTGTGCGATCCCCATGAAAAATTACTGTCAGTGATTTTTCACGCCATCCCTAGTAAGCGATAGGTTAGCGACTACTACTCACCGTGCCGAAATGCCGGCAACGCCCTTCCGTAAACTTTGAATGGTGAATTTTGTATTTTCTGTAAATTTTAAGAATCTCGTCGCGAACAAGAACCGCGTCAAGATTCTTCTTAAGAATATAAAGAATTCTCTTCTAAATTCCAACGCGAGCTTGAGAAGGTTAAGAACCACCATGCTAGGTGATAAATGTATCCGGGAACGATCGCGCCACCGGTGCGACAGCCGATCGGGCCGATAAGGCAACGATCGGTCCGCTAATTGCCAACTAAACGACGCTGCTGGCCGTTTAGGCTGAAATTATTTCTTTTTAAATTGCCGTACGTGACAATTTGCGCGCGATGTGGTAGTCCGAGTTTGTCGCCGGTTTGCACAGTCTTTTATACGTTTCTGCATCGTCGATAGGTTCGCGTGTCTCGACGCAAAGGTTTTTAAATTCCGAACCTTGCTTTTGCTCGATTCAAGTAATTTTCTGTGTTGGTCGGAGCTAAATGTAAACAGTCTTGCCCGTATTCAACAAGTGTTGCGTGCGTATACATTCGATCAAAGGGTCGCATCCAAATGCATAGTTTATTCTTTGCATCTTTCATTATTCCTCGCTATTTTTCTTATAATCTTTTCTCTTGACTCGTTTACGTACTTTTCGCCATAAAAAAGCATTCCAGTGTAACAGGGTTTTCATAAAGTGTTCTAGAACCGAAAGAATTCATAGAACCGAGCCTTCTCCCGTGCCCAATTGTACGTAACCTCTCGAGTCCGCTGTAACGAGTGGAATTATTGTGAGACGAGTGAACTGTAAAGGAGATTCGAAGCGAGTCGAGAGGCGCGCCATCCTCGTCCGCCTGTTACTAATCGGCGTCGTCGCTCTAAAAAGCGGCCGCATCATTTTATATTATTTTCGAAGAGGGGTCCGGACGGCAGCCCCGTCCGGACATAGGTAGCGCCCGTTTAGGCGGTAAATCTTAATGAGAATCAAGGGTGTGGCCTTGGCTGTCTCGAAAACGATGATTGCAACCCCGTGGGCAACGCTTGGAACGATCGTCGCCCATCAACAACCTACACGTACGACACGGTCTTGTAATAAAGAGAGCGACCGATCCTCTTACAGATGGTCCACGAGGATTCTTAAATACGGACTCGAACAGTTTTTAAACTGTTTCGACTTTGGTTGTTTCGTTGATAACGCACCCATTTTTCTACATTTTATTACCACTGTGCTTTTTATAGAAAACATTTTTTTTTTTTTTTTAAGTTAGAAAGACTCCGTCACGCTTTACTATACCAAATATGGTCAGGGTGAGAAAGTTTGGAAGCGGGTATAAGTCGTCGAGTTGATTGATTTTACTACGAGTGTAATTATAAAATCATTACCAAACTTCTCGATACCATACCGTGCCGTAATAAAAGAGTTTTAACGCGCTACCCGAGTCAATTTCACAAGAATTTCCCCGAGGCGTGATCATCCAACTCTTCTCGATCTCTGTGTTCGCATCTCCTGAAACATTATCTTAGATCGGCGATCTTAAACTTGGCAATTTCTTGCGCGCGAATAACGTTCCTCGTAAAGGAATGAAGCGAAGTGTTCGTAAATGAATAAAGCGAACGCGAATCTATTAAAGCGATCATGTAACCGCCGGTGAAAGAGTAACATGGCGACCGCAGCTCCAAAAAGTACAAACAAAATGGAGCAAACATTCGCGTTAAGGTTCCTCGATATCTACCGCAGCTTTTCGAACACGTGCTGCGTAACTCGATCCGCGGAGACATTGCTTGCGGACACCTTCCCGGTAACTATGCGGTTTCAAAACGTGAACGAAGGAACTGCTGAAGGACGGCAGCTTCGGTACTCGCTACAGCTTTTTTAGCGTAGAGTCCAGAGATGGACGAAACTCTAGGCTTTTTTTTGAATATTTTCCAAAGAAGGAAACGAGACAAACACGCGAATAAACATCAGATTTATTCGAAGCCTAGGGTTTTGCTCGTGAGAATGTTCAAAAGAGGAAACGAGACAAAAGTTTTGCTATCAGTAAGCGATAGAAATGGCGTGAACTGCTATTTTTTTAATCACTCGCGATTCAATCACGTTCATTCTTAATCGCGATGATTTTTCACAGTGATTCGTGATTCGATCCAAGGAAACATATCGGCAAACTTCGGATTTATTCAAAGCCTAGGGTTTTGCCAATCACTGAGTGGAACCCATTCTATGTGACAGAGATGGGCGAAAATGTTGAAAAGAAGAAACGAGACGAACATATCAGCAAACTTCGATTTATTCAAAGTCTAGGGTTTTGGTGGATCACTGGTAGAGTGTACACCGTAGACCGACTCGTAGATTTTCGTATCGTTCGGTGCGTAAAAGAGTGGACGTTTCGATGGCGTAGGTGTAAGGCGAGTGTCGCCGTTGTGAGATGGGGCGGAGGTGAACCGTGGATAATAACGCTGCTTCCGGGATTGTTTCAGGTACCTGGGCGTAGAGCCGCGGCTGAATAGCGGATCGGGGCAGAGCAGCGGTGCCGACGGACAGGCACAGATCGTCGGCGCGGGTGTGATCGGGCCAGCGAGCGCCGAAAAGAACTGCAAGAGCGTGCACCTGACCGCCAAGCAGCAGGCGATATGCTCCCGCTCGCCACCCGTCCTGCAGGTATTTACCTCGCGGCAGGGGCCGAAGAACCTCTCGGATTAATGCCCGGGGAAGCACGCGGCTAATTCGATTCACGAGACCTACGCCCAGCGGAGGGACAGAGAAGGAACGAGAGGGCGAGAAAGAAAGAACGGGCCGCGGGCGCGAGAGAGACGGAGATCGGCAGAGAGCCGGCGTATAAACTTTGTCGGTGTAATTTTTCGAGCCGCCGTCTCCGCGCCGACCGCTTTAATGCTCGAACCCGCTCCTTCTTCTGCCTCTTCTGCCTCCTCTTCTTCTGCTTCTCTTCCTCTTCGACCACGACCACGACGACGACGACGACGACGACGAATCGTTTCCATTTTTCTTCGCCTTTATGCGCGCGATGAGCTTTTCCCGCGCATACCTTTGTGATACAGGGTGAATCGCGCGACACAGACAGCTCGTAACTCTTGCGTGGTCGATGCTGAGAAAAATCCAGACCTCGCGAGAATTCGAAAACCTCGCATCGGGTACGGAGTCACGTCGACGTATATGGGGTTATTTATATAATAAGGGCCAGAAGTCTGGAAAGTAGGTTATTTGTTAGGGGTTCGCGAAGTGTCACAAGGTTCCACTATTTTTTATGTCCAATTCAAACGAAACTTTTACTCTTCAAAATACGTGTAAAAGGAAAATTAATTTCCAGATGGCTTTAGTTTCAATCCGCTCGACCGCCGAGCGTCATACCTATTATTTTTCCACGGTGGAATAGCTCGCCTGGTTGAGATCCCTCGGATTTTTGTGGCTTAGAGAACGAGTACGAGTAAATTGTTTCAGTGTAATTCCCTAACGAAAAATGCAAAGAAACGGGTCGTAAAATGCGTGTTACGACGACGTTGGAAAGTTTCAACATCGCCTCCAAGAGAGCATAACCGTGTTATGGGATACGAAGTAACCAGGAAAGTATTCGTTTCTCGAATACCTTGCCCTCATACTTTTATGCCCACGAAATCATCGAAGCAATCAAACGTATATACTTTTCGAACAATTTTTACGTATCCGTTTAAAAATTTGAGATCTCGAGGAACATTCGTCTTCGTGGAAATTTCGTTACAAACGATCCTCGAGCAAACCGCGACCCAGGTCATTTTTTCCACGGGATGTACGCAATTAAAAAGAATATATTTTCTCGGTGTTTAAGATAGCCATAAGCTCGGTGCGAAAGGAAAAGTCACGAATCGCGTTCGATTGGCAGGAATTAATTCGCAAAGAAGACCATCTCGAAGCGGTTCGACCGTCTGGTCCTCTTAAAGCGATCCGGAATCGCGACGGAAAATTGACCGTCCCTTTAAGGTGGCTCGGTGCGAGCGCACTGGCTCGATTCGCATGATTCTAAAGAACTCCCGGAATGCCAAGCTCGAGTTGTAGCTTTCGTTTGCCGCGCGTGCAATATTTAATACGCCGGCTCTGCAACAGAGTCCGGAGCCTTCAGTGAACCCTGCGCGACCTCCTTTCGAGACACTCGCTGTCGGGAAATCGCTGAATCCAGCAACGCGGTGTCAAATTCCTGAAACCGGTATTTATTATACGTTTTCCCGTACATCGTAGTCTCTCTCGAAAAAAAAAAAAACACGCGACAATTTTAGAATTTTGATTTATTCGGCGACATCTACCATCGTCCTGAAAGCGAAGGCTTTCCTCTGCGATACTATACCGGTTCTCTTGACGCGAGAAACTAACAACGATCGAGTCCGACACTGTAATCGTCGAGTCTTCTCGAGCTAGAGTCGACGAAGAAACTGCGGACGAAGAAAACTATCTTGGACTGTCAAGTGGATTCGTTCGAGTAGCATCCATCCATCGAAGACACCCGGAGCCGTTGAATAGTCATCAGAAATACTGGCGCTCTCGAAGAATGCGTTAAAACTCGATCCTCCTATTTGTTTCGAGTTCTTCTCGCGTCGCAGGATCTGATTCGACATCGATTTCCAATCAGGAACGAGTACGCCTAGAGAATACAGTGGTAAATTGCTCTCGAGGCGCAAGAAGCAGTACTCTGGCCGAGTGGAGTGGAGCAGGAACACCTTAACATAAATTAGCATGACTTCAGCAGCCCGCGTGCTTCAAGCTTCTCCTTCAAACACTCGGTTCCATTCGGTGCAAAGTCTGTCAAAACACAACCGAAGAAACTATCGGACAGGCTAAGAGACTCTCTGAGCAGTATCCATCCACTCGAGACACTCGTATGCTAAAGTAAAGCAATGGGGCACACTTTTACAAACAGTGGTAAAACCGATCGCTTTACTTTGTTCGAGTACAACCGAAATTGCGTTCATCGCACGGGAAGGGTACTCGTCTTAAGAATCGTAACATAAATCAACGTAACTTCAGCTGCTCGCATACTTCGTACTTCTTCTTGGAGCTCTTTGATCCACTTGCTGGAAAGTTTATCAAAATCCATTGTCACGCCCGAGAGGATCTATCCAAAGGAAACGATCCTAACAGGTTCTCTGCGACACGTTCCGACATTCTTCTCGATACTTGCCATTCCACTTGGTACAAACTGTCGCAACGCAACGGGAGAGACTCTCCGTGCAGCGTGAACTCACCGCGAGACGACTCGGCGTAAGCCCAGACAGTGGTCCTCCAGCAGGTTGTTCGGTTCGCGATTCGTCCTGGAGCAGGCTGGACGGATCGGATCGTCGAAGGAAACGGGGCTCACGGTCCCGAAAATCGCGTTTACCTTTCCCTAATGCACAAATCTTGTCGACGAAGGGCCCTGGCTGGCGGGCCTCGTCTAGAAACCGGTGCCTAGGTAAACTCCCGGTCCGCGGGACCCCCGATATCCCTTTGAACGGCGCCGCCAGTCTCGGTTTTCCGAGACCAGGTTACCGACAAAAGACCCTCGCCCATGAATATTCATAACGCCTCGACGCTGGGCCACCGAGTGCTTTAATATCCGAACGATCGAACCGGATGCACACGCCAGCGTACGAAGGAACATCCTCCGCGGCGATTTATGTCGCGTCAACGGTGAAATTTCGACTCGTCCCCAGCCCACCTTTTCGCCGTGGGGGAATCGGTATCTTATTGACCTCGTTCCTCGCGGAGAACGTGAGAATGCTCCTTACGGATGTCGGCGGATGTTCCACGATACCCCCGGTTCCGTGTTCGCCGCGTTCGGAACGGTGTACCTCGCATCGCCTTCCGCGGCGATCTCGCTCGGGCTGTTTCGCGTTTGGTTTGTGTGTTTGCGCGAGCGAGGTAGGTTACGAGCACACGCGATGCGCCGAGTGTCATAGGTTAAGTGTGGGATGCAATTGGGGTGCATGTTAGGTTAAGTGTATAATGCGATTTGGTGGCTGTAGTGGGTTATGTGTGCAGTGCAATTTGGCGTCTGTGCGATGGGTTACGTGTACTGGTGATGAACGAAGTAGCGGAAGCTTCGAAGCTAAACCTCGAGCCGAGCATTTCGAGTTTCGCTTTAATAACGGTCGGTGATCCGAATCCTTCCGAAAGGTTTAAGAGGTGGACAAAATTTCAGATGGCGAAACACCGATTGATATCATCGACTCTTTCTGCCCGAGTTTGTCAAATTAATTGCGATATATCGACTATTGTCTTTGGTACGCGCGAGAGCAAAACGAGCGACTCCGACTATCGTTTATCCATGACACGAATCTCGGTTACCGTCGAGCGCCGAAGTTATTAAGGCGTGCCAACGGCGCTATTCGTGGCTATACGGAATGTTTGTAGCGGAATCCGAGTGGTCGTCTCGGTTGTCTCTCGTTACTCGGAAACGCGCATCGCGCGTTGAGATTTCCGAGATTGAAAAATTACGTATCTAATTTTAATGTCTTCGCATCGGGAATCCGGAGCGTATCTCCATAAAACATCTACGATACATTTACGAAACTTCTCTGGATCGAATTCACGTCGAGTGCTGTTCTCGTTTGATATTAACGATCGCGATAACATGGATTCGGAATACCTATTAACATAATTGCGCCGTCAATAGAAACCGACTACGTATTATAATTGCTTTCCGACACCCGATCCAATTAACCGCGGGTCTACTATTAAACGGACAAACCCCGTAATTGTGGCCGCGCCGTGACACGTGCCCATTCCTTCGGCCGTACTCTTGACGCGTCGATGAAAACGTGCTAACAAGGGATTGGGAAACCAGCGGATACTTGTAACGCGACGTTTCCACCTGCTAGTTTCCATGCTAATTTCCATGACTAATTTCCATGGTAATTTCGGGGCCGTAGAATTATGTTAAAAATAAGGTAAACATGGCTTTTGGATCTCAAAAAGTTGACCTTAGGAAAAACAATTGTTCCCTTAGGATTAAGGGGGGTGGCACGCTGGGAAGCCAAATATCGAGCGTTTTCGTGATTTTCTTTAAATTTTGGGAATATTTTCGGTAATATTTGCGGGCTTCAAAGTGCATTCGACAATTTCTTAAATCTACTTCCCACAAAAATCTTTGAGATATCGTGTTTTTTTTGTTTTTTTCTTTTTTTTTGGAAGTAACGCTCTATGTTTGTTATCCCCGGCGTTATGCTTTCCTCTCGCCCCAGTCTTTCACGGTGTTTGCTTTCAGGCAGTCAGCGCGGGCGCGAGATTGGCCATAGAGGAGTGTCAGCACCAGTTTAGATCAGCGAGATGGAATTGTTCCATCAGCCCGGAAAATCCGGAGAACGTTTTCGGCGGCGTGATGCTAGTCAGTAAGTAAAAGCTCAACCGCAGGCAGAACGAGTTCCTCGTAACGCGAAAGCTCTGTCTAGACTGTCGAGAATAGCAATTCGCTAAGAACGCTTACCTTCTATCGATTCGAAAGTGCCGAACGACAACCGAATTCATAAAAAAAAGTTCCGATACGTTCAGACCTGTTCCAATAGCATCTACCAAAGATCGACGTGAACTTTCTATAAAACCCGATAATTGGTCCGTATTCTCGAAATTACTCGAAATTAAGCGCGACTCCGTTCACTTGAATTCCCTCCCATTTAATTATTTCCCCACGGAACGAATCCCCGTTCGTATTAAAAAGACGAACCTCGCGTACGAAATTGCGTTATCAAAATTGGCACCATCGCGTCGCGGATTCGAGATAATTTTAATTAAATTTAATTCCTCGTGCAAAAAAAAAAAAGGAACAGCACCACCTGCCGTTTCGCGTAATCACGAACGAGACGCGGGCTGCCGAGAAGAGGGCAGCCTTGGAGAAATGAAAAAACTTCTCTGCAGCGACAAAATTCTGGTGCATGTTCGCAGACAGTCGCGAGGCGGCGTTCGTGTACGCAATATCAGCAGCAGGAGTTGCTTACAGCGTCACGAGGGCCTGTTCCAGGGGCGAGCTCACCGATTGCTCCTGCGACAACCGGGTCAGGACACGCCGCCCGAATAATTGGCAATGGGGTGGCTGCAGCGAGGTAATTTCACCCTTTATTTGTATTCCCCTGTCCTTTTCAAAAATAAGACGCGACTAACTGCCGACCGTAAATTAGGATTACCTTCTTCTTTCGCGGGCTTACCTTCTTACGCAAGTTCTCCTCGTTGGATTCGTACCACCGTTCCCCATTAATTAATTACACTTGTTACACTTGTCACGAATTGAAACAATCGTGTCTCTTAAATGTATACCGAGAAACCGGGTATTTATTACGTGTAGAAATTAATCTGTGCGTTATATTCGATCGAGAGCTCAAGTAAATTATTATTTTTCCAAGCGTTCAACCCGATGGTCGTCGCGACTTATCTATGTATACGAAATTCAGTTCAGGAATTTTGCTTATCGGTGTTCTTCTTGCACGTAGAAGTTCATTTTCCGTGTAATATTATTACATAATATCGCCTCTGCCCTCTTCCCTGAAGGGAAGCGTACCATCGCGTACCAACGTCGTACTCTAGCGGTTCTAAAACCCTCCAAGGACGAAAGTAAGCCCGGTTCACGGGCGAAACCGATACGTTTCTCTGCAGGAATTCTTCGAGTTCTTACGCAACGGCCGGTTAATCGAATGCCCAAGTCTCCGACGGGTCAATTAAACCAACGATTTCAATTTCGCGGGAGCCTGCAGAAATACCGCGGAGGTCGCGTAACAGGAGAACGCGAATTAATGATAAGTTTCTGTGTTTCGTTGTTTTCGATCGGTAAATCAATCCCGCTCGTGGATTCCGGTTCGCGCTTGGAAACGGTGCTTCCGTCTCGCGTGGAGTTAATGAAATTCCATTCCCCCGACAAACGACGTTTATTTCTCACCCTTTCTCGGCGAAGAGGGGGGCGAAAGGAAAACCGAACGACGCAACAGTATCCCGTTTCTTTGCGTTACGCGTATACAGGGTTAAGGGGACAGACCAACCCCTCGCCGATACAGAGAACTGCTACGAGTACCTTTTTCTCAGAAGCTGCTCACGCTAGACAAGCTTTCGCCTGTCGTGTTTAGCTTGTACTTCGCGTTGGAATTCTTCTTTTTTTTTTCCTTTTTTTTTTTTTTTAGGGGTATCGATTGTCAGGGTTGAAAGAATTTCATGAATAAGTTCTCCGTAGAGACATCGAGGCTGTAGGTATCCAGGTATTCGAATAGCATATCACTGTTCGAATATTAATATAGGAAACGATGTTACGTTCTTAATTTCTCGTTATAACGTGTCGTCGATGAGTCGACTGTTTTACGATGGATCCTCTTTAAAAGTATCGTGGATTATAAGTCATTAGGATATCCTCCGGACAGAGTCCCATAATAGTTCCCTTTGTCCCGTTTTTAAGCTGGCCACCGAAACGAATCGTGAAAATATAGGGTTCTATTGGAAGGGAATGGAGGGGGAGGCTTGTGAATGACTCATAGACTTAAAGAAAAACAGCCCGATGTAAGGATAAAGGTCATAAGCAGGCTCCGAGCATACGTGTACGTAGCTCGGAGGTGCTCGTAACGTACATACGAAATCATTGTGGGAAAGAATATCCGTGTGTGAATCCGTGTCTACAGCCCCAGCTTGAACTCGACTCGTTGAGAGAAGAGCGGTTGGTCCATTAGCGCTGGAAATAACGAGGGTGATCCGGGATGAAGATGGCCAGCCACCGTGTTCACCCTCCGTGTGTCGAATTGTTCAGCATTCCAAGATTGCTCCCTTTTCTTTTTTTTTCTTTTTTTTTTTTTTATTTATTTTATCGTTAAAAGAGAAGGAAGAAACGAAGGGACACCCGAGTTTCTCCTTTCTTCGTCGTGATTTTCTTACCGTTGAACGTGTACTTCTTGCCGGGCGTACGCTTCCACTGTTTAAGCGCGTTGCATGGGGGGGGAGGGGGAGGGGGAGGGGGGAAGCACTGGCATCCCGGGGCATCCCCCAATTTGTCGTCTCGATCTCTCCACGGTCGGTCGACGTAAACCTTAACCCTGGACGAAGACAAAGCTCGTCCTGTAAACGGATGCATTTCATGCGTACGGCTGACCCCTTGTAGACATTGCTGGCTTACAAGGGGATTAAGGGGGCTAAGCTTGTTAAGTTGCAACAACCCGCCCACCTCTTGCCCCTGCTCCCGCCCCCGACATATCGGCCACGCAACTTGCACGTGAGCGATGCACACAAACGTAAATACAAAAGAGCTCGCGGACCGGGAAGAGGCGCTTGGGAACGGGGGTAGTACGAGACGGGGGAGAGAGAAACTACTCGGCGAAGGAAACAATGTAAGAACGAGGGTAAACATTGCTGAACACAAGTGGCGACCGATCCAGAGCGGCTCGGCGAAACGGAGGAATCGTATGGAAAACGCAACGAGGTTTGCGAAAATGAAAAAATTACGATCGACCGAGTACCGGACGCCGAGGCGATCGATTCGCGGCTTGTTCTGTACGTACACTCGAACGTTGCGAGATGGCAGAATCGCTTAAAAAAGGAACTTGAAGATTTAAAAAAAAGAAAAATCCCATAGTATCGTACAAGATTATTGTTACGCGACGAATGCTGTTCGATGTCAATATCGATCAATGTTGCCGCCCCGTTGTCTGTTTTTCTACCCCGGCGTCGACGTCCAGAGTCTTGCTTATCGTTGCGACGATTGGGTTTCGGTCTCTGATTTATTGTTAGATAAATATTTAATTTATTGCGATCGATACGAGCGAGAGCGCCGAGAGCGTGAGAAAAGACAACACGGGAGAGATGGGACAGCGAGCGAGTAGGTGGGTGGAAAGGGAGGAGGACAGGAGATCAGAACACGTGCTCGAGGTACTCACGTGGCAGGAAGAGGAAAGCGTCGGGAAAGTGTGGCGCTGCTTCTCCTTCGGGATTACGTCGAATCGCGGAACGGCCATTTCCGCGACGCATTCCGACGGCCACGGAGAATCCCTTAACGAGGCTGATCCCGTGGGACAAATGTCCGGGTCGGGCACGCTGACAGATTTCCCAGATAATGATATTTGCCGACTCTTCAGCGCCGAGCTGGTTTTAGGGGGTTTCCTCGTGTCTCGGATGCGAGAGAAATCGATTTTTCTTGCCTCTTCTTAAACTTTGCGGAAGTCCACCAACCCCGTACGGGGTTAAACGTATTCCTTGATTCTTAGTGTTGTAATTATAAACTTGTCGCTAAGGATACAGAAAACTCTTTCCGAATCAGAAATCACGTACGTTACAAATTGACTTTATTTCTCTCGATTCTTATTCTTACTCTTTTTTTTATATTGTTTATTTATAATGGTCGCACGAACAGCAATGTCACTAACGATCACGGTATAACACATAGTTACAAATTAATTACAAATTAATCGCACATATACAATAATTAAATTTTGTTTAATAAGTCTACACTTTTTAAAAATGAAAGAGTCGCATTGATATTTCTAAGACCGTTAAGGCAGTCACTGAGATCTGTCGGAAGTTTGAAATCTAGTCGTTTAGATTGGAAGATTGGGCAGTCAAGTAATACATGTGCAATAGATAATTTAACATTGCAGGAATTACAGATCGTAGGTGGATTTTTAGTAATTTTGTAGACATGGGTCATATTTGTGTGACCGATAATATGCCGGCAATATATGAGAGCATTCGTTATTAAAGACATCTTTCCTTATTTGAAATAATTTTGAGTGGTGGTGCGCTGACCCAATATTCATTCCAACAATTTTTAATTCTTATTTTCAGTTCCCTGATTAGGTCATTGTGTCTTCTTACTCTTGTCCTCATTCTTATTCTTATTCTCGGCATTTACCTTGTCTGTATTTCACACTTTCTCCCTGTCTCTCGTCCGCACTCGTCTCATCTGCTCAACTTCACATTCGTACAATACGCAGCTAATTTAAACAGTCTACATTGGCGTTTTTGAAAATATCGCGCTCGCGTCAGTTTATCCTGCGCGATCGGTCCGAAAGTTTCCTGGACTCGCGGCGTCCAAAGTGCAAAGGGTTGAACACACCGAAAGAATTAGCCTGTTCGCGGTCCAGATTTTCTGATTTCGGTGGATTTTTGTCGAGCCTAGAGCCGCGCCATAAATCACAGGAATCTTGTTTTGTTAATCCACAGGACATACACTTCGGTGAGAAGTTTTCGCGAGAGTGGTCCGACGGCGGCGAGGAACCTGTGAAGGAGGGTGTCCTCCAAGGACCGAAAGGGCTGGCTGGCCAGCTGATGAGGAAGCACGATAGCGAAGCTGGCAGGCGTGCCGTCCGCTCGAGAATGCAACGCGTGTGCAAGTGTCACGGTGAGCCATTAATGCGTTCCACAGATAACCGCCCCGGGACGCTGTCCACGGTCTTATTTTTCATTCCGCTCGCTTCGAGGGCTTAGGATTATCATCTGTCCCCCTTTGTCTTCCCCCGCGTAGAATCCTTGGAAAGTTAACCCTTTCTATATCAATGATTCCATGCGAACACTCGCAAGCGGACGCTTCTCGTTGTCCGATTGTTTCGAAACTTTGTATTTATTTAAAATCTCCTTTGCATATTTGGAAGACGAAACAACCAGACCCGAGACAAGCTACTGTCCTTAATTTAAGAGAGCCCCCGCATAGAATTGGTTGAGAACCGATTCTATTTTCGGTACGCGTCCCGCGGTTACGTTCGTCGATCGGATTACATATTTTCATAGAAATTGATGCGAGCGCAATTTCATGGTCCCGTAGGTATGTCTGGCTCGTGCAGCGTGCGCGTCTGTTGGAGAAGATTGCCAGCGTTCAGGGTGGCCGGGGCTGCTCTGGCGGCGTTGCACGAGGGCGCAGCTCTGGTTCGACTGGCGCAACGTGGCGGAAGAAGATCGGCGAGGCTGTGGCCTGCTCGTCCCGATCTCAAGCGGCCGAACAAGACGGACCTGGTGTACCTCGAAGACAGTCCCGACTATTGCGAGAAAAATCTCACGTAAGGGATCCCATAGCTTCGTAACCGGTAACTAGACTGCAGATCTTTGTGCATTTATAGGGAAATTTGAATGCGCAAGAAAGTACGAAATGCGGACAATATGCAAGAATATAAAAAATTCGAAAGTAAAGTTCATGTTATAATATCTACGGAATAAAATAAATTCCTATTTAACTTCAATTTTTGGTAGGCACGTTCGCGAACATTTTATTTTGCATAAAGATCCGCAGTCTGATTATATTATATATGTATTGTTTATTAATTCTTTCTTCGTTGTCTTCGGTTAATAGAAACGCTAAGAATCCACGAATCTGTTTCAGACTCGGCATACCCGGCACGAGGGGAAGGATATGCAACCGAACGTCCCTGGGCCTGGACGGATGTAGACTGCTGTGCTGCGGCCGGGGCTACCAGACGCGGGTCCGCGACGTGACCGAGAAATGTGGGTGTCGGTTCGTCTGGTGTTGTCACGTCAAGTGCGAGCTATGTCGGCACACGCGAGAAGAACACGTCTGCAATTAGGCGCGGGCAATTGCATTCCGGTCGGTCTACCGAAAGGTGCTTCACGACCCTCTGCGTCCAGGCAGATATTTTTCTCCATGACGACGACGACGATCCTCGATCGCGACGGTCCGTTTCGCGATCGTCGCGCGATCGCGATGGGGGTAGACCGCGATTCCACCGCGCTGTTTTAAGTTTAAACCTTGCAATGGCTTAGTCCGGCTGGCTCTCACAGGGAGGTCGGTCGCGGGCCGTTAAAACCGCCGCGAGAGGCTACAAAAGTGTGTGACACGTTACGTTAGAACATTCTGTACCTGACAGTCAGAGTGTCGTAAGTCCACTCTTCGGCAACGGTGACTTTGAGCGTAGCTTTCAGACGGTTAGATTAACATATCTACGTGTGTTTGTGCTCTGTGAGGCGGTCCCAACTTGACCACCCCAAACGTCCCCGCGCCCAGGCATGTCCAACTCGATACTCGCCGTGTCGGAGCAGACAGCTAAATCGTAACGCTTGATCGTGACGTGGAACGACCGTTCGGGGATGCGTGTGCGAAGATCACGAATCGGTTCGTTTCTACTCTGTCGTGTCTTGCGACAAAGCTCTATGATAGAGTAGGGCCAGCTAAGCCGTTTAGCCTTGGTCTCGAATTTCTGCGAAAGGAAAGCGATTATGAAATATTTATTACGTCTTTGTAATCGGTTCGTAATTTGGTAATGACTCTGGTGGCCGAATCGTTCAAAGACTGCTGCCATTGTTGAACGTCGCGGACCAGTTGGACATGCTTGGTCTGCGCTGTTCTTTCTGACGATAGGAAAGCTACCGGCAGAGATGTTTAACGATCGATCGGTCAGTTCTTCGAGGTTACGTTTGTTGAGATTATAAGGTTACTCGTGGTTTCTTGAATTGTAACGCATCAGGCTGACCTAAGGAAGGATTGTCCATTTTAATCGTCTGTGGTGCCTGGTTACTTTTTAACTATCCGTCAAAGTAAAATATCGTTATTATTATTATTATTAAACGTCTGCGTTACGCAAATTTATAAATATATTCGACCCACCGGTAGGATGCAAGGAGGAATCGGGTCGTACTTGACCCATGATTAAATTATTTATTTAATTACAATGAATTATCCGCAATCTATATACATATATCGATGTTTATTAAATCTCTTGTCAAACAATTCGCGGCATGGGGGAGTCCTCTAGCGGTTATGTAATCGTTGATCTAAGACATCGTAAATGACCTTGAAGTCTCTAACGGTGACCTTGAAAAACTTTCTCCTCGATAAAAAAAAAAAGTTTATCCATTTAAAGCGTACCATTTCTTCCACCGACGCTTTTCACTGGTCATCGAGGACGAGAAAGATGTCCAGGGTGGTCACGACAAATTGGACACCCTGTACAGAGACCTCCGAAGTAAAAATACCCTTCGCAAAACTGTGTCGAATTGTTTCAGTATTAATATCATGTATAGCAAGTACAATGTGTCTGTGAAGTTGCAGTTACGTGGCTTATTATGCTAGTCTGGCTCTCAGGTGCACCATTATTTACGTAAATGTTAACATGTTGAGGATCGACCATGAATCGGTCCAATTCCCAAGGGTTATCTAGGATCTGTAAAAAAAATGTGTGGCCGTCATCGTGGTACTTGATGCAAACGATGATAAAAAAAAAAGAGAGAAAAAAATGTGTAACGGGAATTGGAATCGACCGAGAGCATCGCTTATCGATGCGACTTCAGGGGCACGGGGAAAGGACCTTCGCGGAAAGGAATTCGTAACGCCGTTGTGGTCTCTTTTGCGACGCGAAAACGGTGAATCGGTTCGCGCGCGTACCCCATTTTGCTGTCCCATAACTGAAACTCAATATGTTAATAATTTGCGGTTTTTGCTGACGCGAGAGAAAGATAGAAGAGAAGCGTGCGTGCGTGTGTGTGTGTGTGTGTTCCGCGTGGACGAGATCGAGTGTCCGGATAAGCATGCGGCTGAACGTGAGCATGGGAATAGAGTAACATAGGCGAGATATTAGGCCACTCGACGACCATTCTTCTTTTTCTTCTGTTTCGTGCTCGCAACATTTGCGTATGACGCGAGAGTCTTATTTATATCAAAGTAAAAGACCTCCACGATTGTGTAGGTATCTCATTGTATACCAATGCTCTCTAGCGCGTAGAACCACCTTGTCTTCACCTAAATATGGAGCAACTACAGTGGCGCGCAAAAGTATTCCGCCCACGCTTGAAAAAAATTCATATAGCGTGCGCAGGTCGAATCGAGGATCATGCAAATGTTGGATAAGATGCGGTGTGTTGATCGTAAAATCGGAATGTTTAACACTGTAGTAAAAGCGAGCATCCTTCCTTGATAAAACGATGCTTGCTTCGACTACATCATCGCATATTTATTTAAAAATATTGTTGCGACTACAAGGAAACACGAGTATCAGAATTTTATCGATGAAACGATGTTGCACGACTAGCAATTCGCGCGTTAGATGAAATTTTATAGCTCGAAGTTGTATCGAGCGTCTCAATTTGTCTTTTCGTAATATCGATATCGATCTCCCCGATTTCAACGACCTTGATTAGGGTTAGCATTTCTAGATCTTCAAGTTCTCGTACCTTTTATTGAGACGTTCCTAGTAACAGGCAACCCGGTGCTCGAGCAAGTCGACGTTACAAGTATCTTGTAGATCTTTTTTTATATGTTATTCTAGTAAATTATCAAACCTGATGGAGACGGCTGAGATTCGAAGAAAGGTATTTGCACTTCTATTTATTTATATTAAAATCTTTATTTATAGGAAACCTGTACTTCCCGTCGGAACATTCACGGCAACTAAACAAAATTTCATCTGGATTGTACAGGTTTGGTAGTAGTTACGGAAAATCACGGTATCGAGAAAAAGTGAACACAGAATACTCTTAATTGCTATTGTTTTGGTTTGCGAGTGTTCGAATACTTTCGCGTGTCACTGTACACGACTCGCTATATCGGCCGTGTTCCGGCGAACAATGCGAGTTACGAGGAGCGAGACGGACTGCGGGAGCGCGAGTCCACGTCGAGGCGAGGTGAAAAGGAGAGGAAAAAAAAAATAAAAGAGGAAAAGGAGGCCGCGCCAGCGATACGACGTGTATTTTATCCCGCTGTCGGCAGTTCGCCTCGAGTCGCTCGGATCGGGAACAATTCTGCCAATGACTGTACATACTGTCTTCTTCTTACCGTTTTGTAGATTTTACGTCCACAACTGCCGCGCTGTATATAGATAAGCATACATACGATCGATCAATGTTTACGTTCTCATCGAATGCTGCGTCAAGAGAAAAAAAAAGAGAGAAACTCGAAGTCTCTCGGAGTAACTTTATAGAGACGAAACTGGTTCGCCTTTGCAAAGAGTACTCTTTACCTGAAAGCTTCAAAGTCTCAATCTTGTTCAGACTCGACACCGCCGAATAATAATCATCAATTAAATCAACGACAGTACCAAAACGATCAACGATTAACTTAATCAAAAACACGAGTCTTGTCGGGCTACTCGAGGAATGAAATTTAATGTCATTTCCGAGTAAACTAAATATTGCACATTTTCGACCAGAAACCTTCATCTTCGGAATAGCACAACATACACAGACGTCTGTTTTTAATGTTTGCATTCGTGCATTTCATGAATGAAAAACATTTGATTAATTTAATCGTTACGAACGATTGAGCTGCTGTTTCGTCGCGTACGCCAAGCCGATTGAAGCCACAGTCTAGTCAATTACGAGGTCCGAATTCATCGTGTCGCGAAAACGCTTGTGGCGACGGACATCTTTCATATACGTTCTTCCAATTTAAAATGGGAATTTCATCGTTTTATACCATCGACCTTTTTTACTGTATTGTTCTTTTCGTTTTATATACACCGAAACCAGAGACAGGCAAAATATTATTCGAATAGAAACAACGTATATAATTTATTACGTTTATCACCGTCAACAGTCATCGAGCTCTTAATGAAATCCAATTTTATAATTGATACTGTTATTTCAGGTAGATAAGTATTTTGCCCATCTCTGATACAAGTATCGATCAACTTTTTACACAGAGATCAATTTATTTTATACCTGTCTATCTGTTGTAATGCTTCGCATCGAATCAAATTTTTCTACGACGAACACCGTTTTTTACAACGATCGAATGACGATCGATGAATACGATACGCGAGTTTGTACACCGGCGACCACTTGTCATCGCTCGAAACGACGCTAAAACTGCTGATTCCGATTTGAGAGAAACATGGCCTTAACGAAGAAAGAAAAAAACGAGTCGAGTTCGTGAAACTTGAGGTAACCGATTCGTCCGTACGTTTTTAAGGATCTAGCGATAAACGCACACGAGCGAACTACTCGTGCGACGACGACAACGACGACGACGACCACGACGACCACGACGACCACGACGACGACGACGACGACGACGATACAGAGCGCAGTACCTATTGAGAAATTTGTAATTTATTTTCCACACAATGCTACACTGTACTTTCTAGCTTTTCCAATCAATCAACTTAACGATCAAGTATTCTCGTAATAGTTACGTCTCTTCATTAGCAATGAGATAAACACACTCTAGCTCGTAACATTTGTATTTGTATGTACCTGTACTCTACGTGCATTTATATAAATACATATGCGAAAAGTGTCCGTATTAGCCAGCACCTGGATTCCGTTCTTCTAGCCGCGAAATGTTTTCGTTTTTATTTATAAAAGTTTGTTCGTGTATCAGTTGCTCGTAAGTGAACAGAATTGAGATCTTCGTTGGTTGTTTAACCAAAAGAAAATTTCATTATGTTTTATTTATTTTATATAGATAGCAATTCGACGAACGATTATTTTATTTTTTAGTCTTTCACCGCGTGTATCTTCCCTTCGACCTTTGGGTTCGTCTGGAGATAAAGATGTACCGCGCCACCATACAACCAACGGTCGCAAAAATTCCTAAAATGCCGCCCACGAAGAGACCAAGGAAAAATTGGAGGTCCTCGCTAGGTGTCCTAACAGGGTTCATCGGTGAGAATAATTCCATGTTACCATCCTTGGTCTTCGCCATATAACCGAGCCAGTAAATCAGCCTGTCCACGGCAGGATTTATCCTGTCGCGGATAGCCAAGGATACCCGTCGAGCGTTTTCGCGATACTCGGGCATTTCGTGTAACTGGTTCACCGTGTTTGATATCTCTTCGCCAGAGATGGCGCGTAGGTCCTCCGTGGAACGCGCAAAACCCAACTGGGTCGCTCGAGCAGAGTTCTTCGACTCGTGGGTATTCCTGGGGAAACATAACACGGGTCTTCCGTGAAACCCAGCCTCCAGGAGCTCTGTGTCGCCGCAGTGACTCAACACCACTCTCGTGCGGCTGTAACCTATGGCAGAACGACGATATTAGAACCGAGAAGATCATTTTCGATCCAGGCACAGATTATAACATTCAAGATGCAATCTTCTACCTATCAGATCTTGTCGATCGATCGCCGTGCGAATAAAATAGTTCTGTAGCACGCGATCCGTGCTCTGAAACTTGGCGTTTTTCCAAATGATTGCTTGGCCCTCTCTGTTCTGCGGCAGCTTTTGCGCCAACTCTCTAATCAACGGCTCATAATTGTCGTCCAGGAGAACCGCAATCGTTCCCTGTCGAAACTCAAGCAATAGTTCGTGCACGCTTCCTTCCAATGGTTGCGCACCTCGACAGTGATGACATCCGACCTACGATATTACATGTAATTAAAACCAAAGACTATCTCGTAAGATAGGCCTCCGTGCATACCACTCACCTCGACTATCAGCTGCGTAAGCGGTGCAAAATCTGACCGCAGGACGGTATCAGCGCCCCAAAGTATGAGACGAACATCGCCATAAAGATTATCCAAATTGACATCGGTGTCTGGCAAATATTTTCCAACTATACGGAGAGCATACGTTGCGTAATTGTCCCGACCCGCGGAGAATATCGACCTCCTCGTGAATATCGTTCGCAATCTGGACCAAAATCCAGCGTTTTGCACTGGCAACGCTGCGCCTGTGTACTCGAACACATATACCTCCTCGTCCCGATTGCGTGTCCATATCACTGGAATCGACTCGATGCTCTTAGTCCACGGTATCAAGCACCCATCGTGTCTAAAATCGAATATCAGCTTTTAATTACAATCGCTAATGATCTAACACAAAATGACATACCTGAGCGCAGGGAATATGACGAAAGTCGGTCGAATTTCCTGTATTTTTTTGGCGATCTGTCCATCCTTCAGCAGAGCCTCGCAGGCCTGAACCGCCTTGGTCTCTGGGTACGCGGATTCCTCGATCTGGACATCCACCGTCAGCACCTCAACGTCGATCAACGTCTCGTAGAGGTCCTCCTTTTTAGACGCCGGTATTATCAACGTGGCGTCGATCAATTGATCCGACAATGTATTGGCCAGCAAAGACAAATCGTAAACATCTTCGAACGCGACCACTACTGCCGATTGCGGAGGTGCGGTCAAGCTTGAACTGCTTACGATACGCAGGAGACAAAGGTACGCGAATAAATCGACGAATACCGACATGATCGAACAGCGACGGCGATCGATAAAAGAATCAGGATAAGTCTCGTTTTAAAACGAAAGATTTTTAACGGATAGATATTTTAAGAATTACAAGAACATCGATACAATTCACGATGTGTGTAATGTACGATGTTTTAAATACGATAGGTAGAAAAAGTTAGACGTATAATAATTGTATCGCGTATTCATTCAAATTCCGGAGCAATCTTCCGTTAGTTATCGCGCCGGCAGAGATTTCGAAACGGGTCCACTCATCCTCCAAGAAAGAAAACGAGAATCGTTCTCGAAACTTCGTAGAGATAAGCCGAACGCTAACTTCCTTCCAGTATCCGACGTTTGGAGTATAAACGTTCGCAAATGTTTAAGCGTGTTCGTGTAAACACAGAAACGTTTATTTCTTGAATGCTGGGAACGTCGATTCGGAGTTCGAATCGTGGGCACTTTTTTTTTAGAAGCACTGCGACCAACACTACTGGACCGCACTATATACGCGTGGAACTGATGTAATAGTTAATCTGAGACTCGATCGATGGTTTCGATCAAACTCTGTTCAATTTATTCATAGTGATACACGAATCTTTACAATTCAATGGTAAAATACATGCGCAAAATAGAATTTTGGCGCCCTTAACGGACGCGTTATCGCTTGTTGACCGAGTAAACAACGTTACTTTTCACTCGGAACGTGTAAATAAGACTCGTTCGTGCACGGACTATGTACCATAAACGTTTAGGTCGAAGAACAGATGAATATTAGACGTACGAGTGATTCGTACGTGACGCACATCGCGTGGGTTGCGACATTCGACTGTCGTGAACAAACTTCGCCTTGGTCAGCGGTCCAGAGAGATGCTCAGACACCGGGCCCGGTTAAGCCTCATGGAAAAGTATGGTTGCATTATAGATGCATTGGATTGTACTCGACTGCGCTCTATTTAACCGTGACGCGTGTCTTCGTCGCGTGATATTAATGTCAATTATAAACGTCAATTATGCATTGCTATGAAAGAGTTTAAATTGTTTGACATTCATATATCAAACGGAGGTTAGTCGCGCAGAGTCAACTGCACTTTGTAGAATTACACTTATTTAAACGTACGCTTTTGTTCATTCACACCTTTGTAAACTGCTAACGACTAATGTTATTCGTTTATTAGAGAAAGAGACGTTTATAACCTTTCAATCGTGCCGGATCGAGTGTGCCATACATTCAGGACCGTCTCAAAAGTAGGCGGCGTCGTAAGCGACGTAACCCCATGGCCCTCCACCTTCCATACTAAGATTTTTATTTTGCTAAGGTAGCAGATTGAAATTTTATAATCATTTTTCGAGTAAACTCAAATTTTTCCGGATAAATTTGAATGAATTCGCTTATTGAAAATGACTCAGCTACAACGCCCTCTAAAGTTGAACCCTTTAAGTTTGTGTCGTATGGGTAGAGCCACCCCTGTGTAAACATCATTTACAACCATTTACATCTTCTCGATGTATTGATAATTTGACTTAACTATAAATTGGCTATGTTACCCAACTACTCAAGCCTTACTTTCAACTTGCCAAATTGAATCGTAATCGAATGAAATCACGTTTTATTTTGAAAGCTAGAGGTTAGTTTCCAAAGAACGATTACGTTTCCAACGTACGACTACGTCATTGTAATACATCTATACAGATAAAATCTGATATAGTGTACGCATCCAACTCGCGGATTGGTTAGAAACGACAAAACGTGCGTTGCATTTACTTCGGTGAAGCGATTTGATTTCAATTTGCGAAGGTAATCTCAAAAATAGGTTAAATACGAAAATCGTGAACACAGTGTTTAAAAATAGTCCATCGTTCGAAACTTGAACGTTGACATTGCATTGTTTTATCGTTTATTCTGTGTTTAGGAACCTCTGAAATTAACCTAGTCGATTTTAAATTTTTATTTGCAGAACGTCGAAAGAAAGTTAATAATGAATAAAAGCTGAAACCTTTGAATGAAAACTCAACGTGCTTAGAAATTGTTCGACCATAATTTTAGATATCTATCGTCGTGTATTTGAAATACACGTAAAAAACAAACATGAGTTTCACCTTAGATAGTTCGAAGCGACAGACAGCTACTACATGTGCGAGTAATGCTCCGAATACAAGTATGTTTAAATAGTGTACAATAATACAAAATTGTGTATATTGTTTATAACGTGTATATATTTCTTGCAGCTTTTACATTCGGAGCTACCGGCGCAGGAGATGCAGGAAAATCGACAGGATTTTCGTTGACTTCGACACCTGTGCAAAATAAGCCTGGCACTATGTTTGGTACCGGATTAAATACGACGCCTGCTCAAGGTACAGGATTTAGTTTTGGAACACCTAACATTGCTCCTACAAGTACTACAACTCAGCAAACACCTGGGATATCCTTTGGTATGGGTACGATTGTGAGTACCGGTGTAACTCCCGGTACAGCCAGTACCATAGCATCTACAGGATTTCCTACTACAGCTCCAGCTGGAAGTACTCTAGGGTTTAGCTTAGGAGGTAGTACCACTGCTACAACAACAACTGTACCTACATCAGGTTTCGTGACTAAGCCAATTACCAGTGGATTCTCCTTGGGAGGTGGCGAAGCCACGTCGTCCGCCCCTACAACTGGTTTAACGTTCGGCACTCCGAATACGATGACAGCGGGAACAGGATTTACTCTTGGCGCAGCATCTACCGCAACAACAGCATCGACCACAACTACGCAAGCGACAGGTATCGATGTTTGAATACTCTCAATTGGTTTATCGATTATAATTTTGAATGCAATTTAATTCTATTCTTATTAGTACGAATAATCAATATAACGTCTTTCACAGGTTTCGCATTAACCACAACTGGTACAACCTCTGTAGGTACAGGATTTGCTTTCGGTACAGGCACAACTGCAGCTAGTACAACAGGATTCTCTTTAAACAAAACGTCTGCCGCTCCGAGTCTTACAACTCCGAGTACTCAATTATCGTTGGGGACGACTACTACGTAAGGATACAGTTTTTGAGTTAGACGCGCAAATTTTGATTTACTATTAACAAGGAAAACATCATAGCGTTAGTTCATCTGCAAATGCGAGTCAACCGGCATCCATAAACTCATTCGAAGAGTCTATCAATAAATGGACTTTAGAACTGGAGGAACAAGAAAAAGTATTTGTTAATCAAGCTGCGCAAGTTAACGCTTGGGACAAATTGCTTATAACTAACGGAGAAAAAATAGTAGCGCTCAATCAAGAAGTTGAAAGAGTGAAAATTGAACAGCAACAATTGGAACACGAGTTGGACTATGTGGTAAGTTTATTACCGTGGCATTTAAATAAATATTTTGGAGCTTGTTATAAACACGTGATGATCAAATATAGGTTGGTCAACAAAAGGAATTACAGGATTGTTTGGTACCACTGGAAAAGGAATTAGAATCTCTCTCAGTTTCCGATCCTGAGAGAGAATACACGTATCGTTTAGCGGAGGAACTCGATACACAATTGAAATGTATGTCGGAAGATTTGAAGGAAATCATCGAGCATTTGAATCAAGCTAATCGTACTCAAGATTCTAGCGATCCAATCGTTCAAATTGGTAAAATATTGAACGCGCACATGAACAGTTTGCAATGGTTAGACCAACAGACAAATCTACTAAATCAAAAGATACAACAAATCGATCAAATGCATCAAAATTTTAGACAAGAAAATGAACGAAATTTAAGCCTAGCGTATAATTAACTTTAATTATATCATCATTCGATAAACGTTCAAAGAGAAATGTATCGATTTCTTTTGTCGGGAGGAGTAAATTTTGTACCGTTTGTTTTTATGTATTTAGGAAAATAAAACACAAGCCGAGCAGTTGTATAAAAAATAAATAATATGTATTATGTTAGAGTGACATCATCGTAATCGGTGGTTACAATGTTAACAATAACTCAGGTAGCTAGCGACGGAATAAAGTACTGTATTTTAAGATGATCCGCTAACTGTAGATATAAGTTCACCATTTGTTCGTGAAGTATATTACATTTCACACTCTCCGGATGTAAAATGTCCCACGCCAAAAATGTATAAAACTTTTTGATATCGATACTGGCCGATACTTTATCGTCGTCAACGTCTTTTTGACTGCAACTCCATACTTGGAGATCCTGAAAATGCGTTGAAACCGTTGCGCTTTCCGTGTCGATTTCGAGTACAAACATACCAGACTTGTCAGCGGTTATCGTTAATCGTGGACTCATATTCTTCATCCTGTCGACTATGTTCCTTACATGTTTTAAATTTGGCATATCCACCGATATCTGTAAAGCGTGAAAATATATCGTTTAAGCATTCCTTGATGCTAAAAGTGATTCAACTCTTCTTTGTATATATATATATATATTTTTTTTTTATAAATTCATTAAAATCGTACATTACATTAAATTCTGGTATGTTTGGCGCTTGATATTCCGGCCATTCTCGTCGGGGTATGACTCTGACTGGTACGTCGTGTAAACATTGTCGCGATTCGATGCTCAACGAGGGCAATTCGATTTCCAGCGTTAAACAAGGTTGTCGTTTATTCGTTAATTTAATTTTTACGCTTTTCGCAGTCATCCGTAAAGAACTCAACGATCTGCTTAGCATGATGGCATCGCATTCTAAATAAATTTCGTTTTGCTCCTCGGTAACACCGTTCATAATGTATTCGATAAAGAAATGGTGTTGACTCAATTCTGCCCATACCATCGATCGTCGATCATCAGCGACGCTAAAGCACAGCTCGTTTGGCGATATTCGCAGGGTACATTGTCGTGTTAATCGTGAAATAATGTTAACGATATCTGCAATGAAAAATTTATTTAATAAATAATTTTTTTTATTAATAAAAGGAAGTAATCGTAACATGAATAGGAAGATACTTATTATTACCAAATAATAAATAACTATGTCCATTAAATTTCTTTTACACTGTAAAATATGATGTACTTTGACAATCAAGCAGACTATGGAGAAGGTTAGAAACAGTTTTTGGCATTTAAACTCACTCGTGAAATCTCTCATAGCAACCACGTCCACCATTCTGCATCTGAATTTCATAATTGATCGTATAATAACAGTATTTTATGACAACAATAAACAGAGAGATTCTTTTAAAGAGAATAAATTTTACGCGGGAATTAAAGTATCATATGTACCATTAGCTGCTTCATGGACCAACAATTATTATCCCCATCTCGTGGTCAAAACAACGAACTACTTTTGGAAGTTTTGATCAGAACTAGACGGGGAATGGTTTGGTATCAGTGGCGCCATCGGTGGGAAAACACCCAAGCTTGTAGTGAAGATAGTTCTCACCGTTTCTATAAGATGGTGCCACCGAACTAACAAATCAGCCACATGGGTTGACGCATGGGGGGGGGGGGGCCACTCTGCGCCTAAAAGATGCAAATTGCTTCTCTCGGGACTACAACAATGTTGCAAATTGCTCCTCTCGGGACTACAACAATGTTGCAAATTGCTCCTCTCGGGACTACAACAATGTTGCAAATTGCTCCTCTCGGGACTACAACAATGTTGCAAATAGCTTCTCTCAGGATTGCAACAATGTTGCAAACTCAACAATGTTGCAAGTGGCTTCTCTCGGGAGTGCAACAATGTTGCAAACTCAACAATATTGCAAGTGGCTTCTCTCGGGAGTGCAACAATGTTGCAAACTCAACAATGTTGCAAGTGGCTTCTCTTGGGAGTGCAACAATGTTGCAAGCTCAACAATGTTGAAAATAGCTTTTCTCGGGACTGCAACAATGTTGCAAAGTCGAGTCGATTTTTCGGATTTTGTCACAGTTTGCCGAACTTCTGAGTTGCAACTCTGTTGAATTTTGACCCCGCTCAAAATTGTGATGGGAAATGTCGGATATTTACTCCTGGTAACAGGAGAACATGTATATGCGAAGAGGTGGCACGTTTGCGCCTACGAGCAGGCAACCGGCCCGACGTATCTGTAAGTCAAGGTTGCCTAATTCAAGGGGCACAATTTTCGGTACGTATGGGAATTTTGGCCCAATTTTACATTTTGGTATCAGGAGAACATGATCCTCGAAGAGGTGGCATAACTTTTATTTATAGCTCGAAACTTATCTTTTGTATCAGGAGAACTTGATGAGTGAGGAGGTAGCATAATTTTTTTTTTGTGACTCGAATCTTACCTTTTGCATCAGGAGAGCATGATGAACCAGGAGGTGGCATAATTTTTAATTGTAACTTGAAACTTACCTTTTTCATCAATAGAGGAAGAGGTGTGCCAGGGAAAGAAGTGAAATGTGCTAGGAAATGAAAGGAAATTAAAATGGTGTCAGGAAGTGTTAGGAGGTTATAGGATGTGTTAGGAGGTGTTAGGAGTTGTTAGGAGACGTTCAGAGTTGTTGGGTGTTGTTAGGAGGTGTTAGGAGGTATTAGGAGATGTTAGGAGGTACTCAGAGGTGGTGGATGTGTTAGGAAGTTGGTACATCGTTAGCGCAGAGGTGCCCCTGGTATGCACCAACCGATACTAGCCTGCTTGTCGATTTGGTTGTCATCTCCTAGGGGCAGAGGTGCCCCTTGCATGCGGCAACCTACTTGGCTAGATTTTATGGGGACCCGGTAATGGGAGAACTTTTAATGAGCTAGAATTCGCCGGAATCACGCGGTCTTAATTAAAGAACACACTTTTTATAAAACTTAACGTTATTAGAATAGCGCGTAAATGGCGCGTCTGTACTCTTTACAAGTTTCGTCTAGGCTGATCTAGGTACTAGGTGGTAATGCTTCCACCAACTTAAATCTAGCGTGTAGGGGGCGCATAAGTCGATGTTAACAGTGCTGCCACAATTTACAGTTCGGTGGCACCATCATACAGAAACGGTGAGAACTATTTTCACTACGAACTTGAAGATTTTCCCACCGATGGCGCCACTAGTGCTAGTGAATAACGTATTCGGCAGAAAATTCCCAATGGTCAGTACTCTCCCATCAAACTCCCGTTCTATTCTATACCTTGTCCATGGTTGTACGATGTTCGGATACATTCAAATTTTCGCGCTGAAGGTCGTGTGGCTATACTAACGGGGACGTAGCGGAGTACACAGTGGTAGTACCTCATCGAGTCGTCGCAACTTCCGGCCACAAGTTTTGCATCGTTTTTTCCGTATGTCGACTGCCGTTGTAATCGTTACACTGTGGTGATAGTGCAACAAGCCAGAGTTGCGTTGCGACGGGTGACGTTCGTTTTCTCAAAAAATTATCGTGGGTCAAAATCGGTGGTCGGTGTGTCGACGCGAACGGTTTCGAAAACGAACGAGCAGCGTACTTAAAGCGTTCTCAGTCATTGGATTCGTTCAACGACGAGAATCCCGCGATGCCTCGAGATAATCGCGCGAGATTGTTCCCCGTGGAAACGTTTGCGACGTAGAGAGTGGTCTACTCGACACGAGTGGCGATGGCTCGGCGGAAATTCGTGTTCGCGAACGGCCACACCGATGCTCGAGACGTTTCCCGTCGCTTCCACTTGATGGATCCTATACCCGCTTAACAGTGAAATCCCCCGAACGTTCAAAGATGGACAAAAATCTCGAATCCTCGTCTAACTAACAACTTTCCAAGAACAATTAAAAGGTAAACAACGTTTGATCCGTTAATTGTTCGATTAAAAATGTCTGAATCGTGCGATCGAAGTACGATGCTCCGCGTCGAATGAAACGGACTTGGCTAGAACTTTTTATGGATAAATCGCTCTATACGCGGCAATTATTATTTGTTCGTACATCGTGCGAATAAATATACTTTGTGTATATAAAAAATAGAATTCTACCTGTCGGATACGCGACGCGTGCTCGGAACGCGCTCTCCGTCCTTTTCCCATTTTTCTCCCCCTTGTCGCGTTCGTATCGTTGTGTTAATTAAACAAACAAACTGTAGACCGGGGCGGTGTTAATCGAGCACGCTGCGAGAAAATCTGGAAAGGACGCGCGAATCGATGGGAAAGAGGAGTCGGTGGCGTCGGAGGAGAAAGAATTTAAAGGATTTCAAAGAGGAATTTAAGGTTCAAGACGAAATGGAGAACAACGACAAACCACGAACCGTTGCCGAACGTGCGTCCATGTCCAAGGAGGAACCGTCCTCTCCCGGCACAGCCGACAACAATTACGGCTGCGAGCACTACAAGCGAAAGTCCAAGTTCGTGGTGAGTTCTCTCTCTTCTTTTTCTCATCTGTGTCTCCTTTCTAGTCCAACGCCGCGCGCGTATTCGTCCAGCGGTGGAGCCTAACCGTTGTGTTTTCGACATACCGATCACGCGGATTCACAGTGATCACTTGACGTTTCACCCGTCCCCGAGACTCGCCGACTAATCTTCCAAATCCTTTTTCACCGTGAGTCTTAACAATGTCTCGTTTCCCGCAACCGTCTTTCGTACACGTTACAAAGGACAGCGGGTGCACTTGGATCTCGTTAACCATTCGCTTTGTCCTAACGTCATCGTTTTGTTTGTCTTAGAGTTGAGCAGCGTTTGAATAATTTCGAATAAATCCGTGGATAGTCTTTCAGGATGAAACTTTTATTCGAGCAAAGGACTCTTGAATACTACCTTATCCGAGCAAGGAAGAACGAATATATTTACTCGTTATGTAAACGAGAAAACAATTCTTTGCACAGGCACATGTCTCTACGTGATGAACATACGTGCGAAGTGTATGCGTGCATATTGTGTGCGTGTAGCGTCTGTGCAATGTATGCGATTTTCTTCTGCGTTATCTTCAGCCACTCGTACATTTTTCATATGTTTATAAAAATTGCATACCGTGTACAAACAACACAGCTCGAAAAACACGCGGACGCTTGCATAAATAATTACTTTCTCCTTCCTATAAAAAAATAAATATTGATTCGTGAGTCACGAATAAACTTTTATCCGAATAAGATCTCATTTGAATAAACGTTTCATCCAGATAGGAGTTTATTCGTGACTCGGGAATAGAGGCTCATCTAGATAAAGGATTACTTGGTAATTTTGTTTGTTCGAACGTTATCTGTGATAGATAAAAATACGTCGAATTCCAGCTCGTGTGTATTCGTTGAAATTTCGAATCGATCGACGATACGCGATAACGACGCAACCGGAACATTAATCGAAGTTCTGTATGTAAAATGATTAATTTGTCTGTTAAATTGTCGAGTAAGTGACGCACGTCACCAATTGACGGTTAATTATATTATTAATTCACGTAACGACGCATCGTGAATGGTGCATTCCGAATCGATGAAAGCACGGACGTTTGTATCCGAAATGGGCAAAATTTTCTCTATTCGTTACAATTCGAATTTTAATTTTTATGCAACAGATAACGAATAGAAAGTTGTTCGTGTTTTATTCGCTATTGCGAAATTTGTATTTGAATATGAATTTTACCCATTCAATTTTTTTTTGTGAAATACAATAGTGGTAATTATGTTTTTTGTTCGCGTTACGTTGTCATCGTGAATTCGAACTGTATCGAACTGTATTCGAATTGCCTCGAGTGACGCAACGACGAGAGGTAACGATTATCGATCTATGGAACAGCGTTTTCATGAATTGAATCGTGCTCAAATCGACAATGTATAGGACGATAAATCGCTCGTGGAGAATACATCGAGTCTATGTTACGAAATTCGACAAAATTTCGTCGTTGCAGCGAGCAAAATTTCACATTTTCGCGGTTATCCTTGAACTTGCCGGGTGATCGATACAATAAACGTCTAAAATGAACGCGTCGCGGTCTCGCAATTAACGACTGATCCCGAAATCGTTCGCGCGCGAGCTTTTTCTCTATCTCTCGTGCGCGATACAACCATGTCGCGCACTGAGACGTAACCAGGGATCCTGGGGATCGTATTGATTAAATTAATAAATACTGCATTCCTAAATTCGCATGAGCATTCGTTGTAAAAGACTCGAAGTTTTGATATCCGTTGAATATGTACGGCTTAATAAAATTCATTTTTAATATTTATGTACGGTTACATTAGAATAAATTCATCGACCCTAATTTATTAAGTATAACACAATTAATTCTATGC